TTAGAAATCTTCCTTGTACCAAAAAAATATCAACACATGAAGCTATTATTTCTTGGCATGTCCTCCATCTAGTTCTATACACTTCTGTAGGCGATGTTATTTCTCCAACCCTTCCCCAAAGATTTCTGGGCTCTTTGATTTATTCCACAAGAAAACAGGAGTTTTAGTATCCTGGAGGGCAATCAAATCATGTTCCTTTTCATACTCTTCTTGAATTGGGGGAGCAGCAAAAAGTCTAAAGGGGCAATGTTGAGGGTGTAGGATTAATGGGGTTAGGTTTCCCAAGGAAATTCTTGCAGGACAGTCCTTGCTACCCTCAAATAAGCAGGTGCATTGTCATGATGGAAAAGAATTTTCTCGGTGCAACTTTCTTCACCTTTTCCCAAGAATGTAGTATAAATTTCTAAAAAAAAAAAAGAAAACGTTTTCTAAGAATCCTGTGATCATCCTGTGTCCTTCGAGAAAATGTATCAAAGTTATTCCTTTGGAATCCCAAAAATCTGTTGCCATAGCATCCTGAGCTGACCTCTCTACCTTGAACTTAACTGGCCCAATAAATGCTTTGGCACTGCAGGATAATACGCATGGTCGGGGTGAACTACAAGGTCAGCAGTTTAAACTCACCAACCACTCCTCGGAAACCCTACACTAGGTGGCTATTGAGTCGGAAAATGGCACTTAATAACAAGTAGCAGATTCTTTGGGAGTCACTATTTTGATTGTGGACCCCTGGTGTGGTACTGTAGGATTTAGCACTGGACAGCAAAACAGAAGGAGAAGCTGGTGGATTTGAACTACCGACCTTGTGGTTCGCAGTCCAGTGCTGATAGTGGGTGGTGGCTGTATCACATAATGAACACAATTAACATCACTGAATAGCTCGTGTTCATCAGGACTTAAAATCCACTGGCATTGTGAGAAGTAATCTCAAAATCGCACTTGGCAGTGAAAGCAAAATGTTAATTTCTGTTCCTCAGAAGAAAGACGAGGCTTTCTGCTCCCGTAAGGATTTATAGCCTTGATAACCCTGTACAGGGTCGCTATGAGTTGGAACCGACTCCACGGCACAGAACTACCACGAGAGGAGAAGGAAAGAGAAAAAAAACATTTGGTGGGTGGAGAAGCACAAAGCACACAACTCTTCATTCATTGTTTTCAGAACAAATAATGCTAGTCTCACCTAACAGTATAACCACTGGTGTTGGTTTGGCCCTCACCACTAGTAAGTATTCTTGACCCTTCAATGAAGGCAGAAGACCCTAAGTTTTAAGTCCCAGTTTCCTGACAGCTCCTTTAGTTTCTCATCTATCATGTATGCATGTGCTTAGGGGCCTGAGGGTAGGGGTGGGGACACGCTGTAAGGAAGCAGAGGATCTAGAAAGGTCATCATTCTGGTTTGTGTGGTTCCACCCAATTCTCAGCATCAAACTTCAATCTGCAGTCTGACTCAGCTCTGCCCCCTGCTGGCTCGGAACAAAACTTCACGCTGGACATAGTCACCTGTGACAAGGACTGAATTTCTTAAATCAGTACCATCACCAAAATGAGGTCAAAGGCTCTTGTGGATACATCAGGTGGGAAGGACCTTTTGTTGGTGCCCCGGCCAAGCGACTGTCCCTCTTCTGAACACAGACACAGACCTCAACATATATCTGAACACAGACACATACTCCTGAAACAACCACATTTTGCTTTATTAGGTGTTCCATGGTAATATAACACAGCGTTCTTAAGGAATAATAAACACGAGACTTGGTTTTTTTACCATAATTATTTTGCCATTAAGACAGTGGTTACAAAAAAAGAAGAGTACTCTTCTGCCTACACACACTATCAGTGTTAGCACTGAAAGTTCCTCCACTCATGAGTCACAATCACAATTCCAAGGATTAAAAACCATCTAGTATTAAATCCTACACTGTTTTAGAGCATCAAGTCACTGCAGTTGATCAGTTCTGAGACACTGTCCATTTATTTTAGCATTTACATATGACATTCATTTAACAGACACACAAAGCAAGCCAACACGTAAACATGCTTACACAGCCTACAGAAATCTTCAGGTTTCAAATTGTTTTAAGAAAACAACCAAAATTTTTACCAGGAACTGGTACAGGAAAAACAGGAAGACGCAAGTGAATACTAAAGAGCTGCAAATGTTTCTTAGAATTGAAACAAAAAACTTTTTTCCAACTTGTTCAAATTTCCTCTAAGTGCAGGTGAGAAAAAAATATATATATTAACCAATTATTTTTTAAAAGTGCAATTTACTTTTAAAATAACAAATAAACAACAACAATTAAAAAAAAAAAGAAAAGAAAACCTCAACTATAACCCCAAAGGCAAAACATGTGGACAGACACGTGTAATGATGTAATGACCTACATTTTTTATGTTATACTTTACAAAAGCAGATTTGGTTTTATAAAAGCCTGCAAATGTTACATTTCTTAAGAGAACTTGTAAACACGTTTGGAAAGAAATGCATCACAAATCAGCAGAGACAGGGAGGCACACAGAGACATCGGCTAGTGGAAGGCTGTCCCTCGAAGAGGGAGATGTAGGCATGAGATTAGTTGTGCTCTAAAGGAGGCTTTTCGTCTGACTGGTAAATTGCTTTCCCCCCCGTGTCATTTATAAAATAGATGTTTCCTCTTGCAAAGTAGAATGGGCTGTAAGTCACACTTCCCAAGGATTTTTGGAGTTGATAAGCCTCCCTATGATTGTATTATTTCTTTCAAAATAACTGGACAAGAAAAACATGCTTTCCCCCAAAAGTATGTTTGTCTGCCTTTCCCCACAAAACCCCGGTGTATTCTAGAATTCTAAAAGACACTTCACTGGGGAAACAGAAGGCCCTCAAGGCTACTAGACAGCCATTAATTCAATCCTTCTGAGCTGATGGTTGGCTTGAAGTTGGTTCACTCATTGGGGTTCTGAGGCTCAGCTGATAGGTTTGACCATCCCTTTAGCTGGTGACCACTACACAGAGGAAATGCTTTCAGGTCGTGCGGTCTCAGATTTCTTCAACAGCTCAGCATTGCTTGAGGTTCTACCTTGGACCCCAGTGTAACAGGGTGGGTGAATTAACCTGGCCCATCCCTGAACCTAGGAAGCGACTGAAACTCGAACGTACTCAGACTCCAACTCCTGATGGCAGGTGGGTAGCACCAGTCTTACATGGACTAGGACAGCATAGTACCGCTGTCAGAACGGCAAAGCTCAAAGTCCTCAGAGCAGGTTCTTAGGGCAACAGTAAAAAGGACAGACCTGGAAATCAGGAAAGACACTGAGGGAAGCTGTCTCAGAGACAAGGGCTAGAAGAAACACAGAGAAAGAGGCAGATATCTGAATACACTCATGAATGAAGAAGAAGTGTTGAGAGAGCACAAAAGATGTGAAAAGAGAATCCTTAAAAGAGTCAATCTACAACAAAATCTAGGCCAAAAAGAAAACATGCCGTTTATCAAGAGTTGACCCAGAAGAAGACTACAGAATGGAGATGTGGACATTTGGGAGCCACTCAGGGGGGGGGCATACAGAGGATACCAACCACACTGAATCAGCTCGATGGTTATGTAATTGCATCATTAGGATGTCCAGTTCAAATCCCTAGCATTAATATTGAATTAGACCTTTCAATTTAGTGTTAAAAACAAAACAAAAATTCTCCTCCCAAACCCCACCCATCCCCTAGCCTCCTGAAGAAAAAATTTTTTTAAAAAAATTTTAAAAGGAAAGACAAAGGCAGCTCCTGGGAAATTCACTTTCTCTTCCTCCATTGAAAGGAAGATGCTAACAAGTACAACAGAGGATCGAGATGAAAAACACCCTCTTTGTGATTTGCTTTGTTTCGCATGTCTGAGTGTTGGATGTGGTTCCATTGTTGGGAACTGGTGGATATACTTGGGTGTGATATTTGTAGATGTGTAGGGAAGTGGATGAGCAAAATCAGTGACTTCCGGGTGAGGGACTAAGAGGGAGCCCCGTGAACTGGCTGCCCCACAGTAACTATCACAGGCTCTTAAAGGGGAAAAACAAAAAGAAAGGAAGAAAGTCTCAGAATGTCCGCAGGTATCCCATTCCCCATCCCCAGGTGGACTGCTGCGGACCCAGCATCTCTAACCCAGGCTGGTGATGTTGGCACGGCCACCAGGAGGCGCCACAATGCGCTGGGTGGTGCGACGAGGAATGTTGTCATCAATCTGAGCACCTGGAAAGAGAAGCAGAGAAAAGGAGGAATAGTCAAAACCACAGTTATACGCTGTCCTGCTTTAAACCAAATGAACACGGCAGGATAGTCATAGTGCCAGCCACACGCTTTGTCCTTCTCTCAAAACCTCACCGAAAACTTAAACTAACACAATACGAGGGACCTAAGATATCCAAAAGAACCAACAGATCTGTGTTGGAAGAAGTACAGCCAGAGTGCTCCTTGGAGGCCAGAATGGCCAAACTTCGTCTCTCATACTTTGGACATATTGTCAGGAGAGACCAGTTGCTGGAGAAGGATATCATGTTTGGTAAGGTGGAGGGTCAGAGAAAAAGAGGAAGACCCCCAATGAGAGGGATTGGCCAAGTGAGGTTGGCCCAGGACCAGGCAGTGTTTCATTCTGTTGTACATAGGGTCACAGTGAGTCAGTACCAACTCGATGGCACCTAACAACAACAACAACAAGATACCCTAAGAATCACATTCTAGGTTAACTAGTCCTTACAGAAGCTAACTGGATTTATTACTGAACAAAGTAAAACAATATATAACGCTACATTTCAGTCTTTTGATTCTGATTCCATCCTGCCCACATGCGCACTAGTCTAACTGGGTGAGGCTTTTCTGTAGAGACAACCTTCTCACTGGTATTCTAGTCCCTAAGCCTACACATCTACTTGTATAATAAAATGTAGTAGTGATGGTTACTTATATTTGAGTGGCTTGGAGAAATAAGGCTACCAAAGCAGAAAACCACACCCACGGCCATCAAGTCAGTTCTGACTAAAACAACACTGTACAGGGTTTCTGAGAGCAGTACAGTGGATTACTTCATATGGTTCTTCTACCGATAATCCCTCTAATTCCCACCAAACAACTTTTTCTTAGTGGGTTTAGGTAAGAAAAGGTGGGAGTAAACACTGATAGGATGATCTGATTCAGTTGTGATAGTTAGCAGAATTAACTGTGATTGGAAAAACTTGGAAATCTAATGTGGGTTTAAATTAAACCATCTCTGAAGCAGGAGGGGGAATCTCACTACCACCAAAGAAAAACAGGCAGGAGTGGATACTTTGGACCCCGAGACCTCTGAGCATTGAACCTCCTTGACCCAGGGACAAAAAGCTGACAGAGGGAATAGCAGCAGCAGAAGGAAGAGCCAGGCCATCCGACAGAGCAGTGGACTTCCCAGTCCGCAGAACAAGTAAAACTGAGTGACATCAGGCAGGAGGCTTGCTGGCAGAATGGGGTGCCTCCAGGGCATTTAACTGGGAGAGTTGAGTTTGTAGACCCACAGAGCTAGAGCCAGGTGCGTTTAGGCTGAGGCTTAGGGTGGAGTAGCGTGCCCTGTTGGCATTTATCAGCAGTTCTAAAAGAACTTTGTAACATTGCTGGAGCAGGGCAGAGGCCAGCCCAAGGAACTGTGGGCATGACACAGAAAAGGCTGTCCTGACTGGAAGAAAGAACTATGCCCTGAGCATTTCTGACCCTTAATTGTAAGCTGTTACTTCCCTAATAAACCCCATAATCATGAGTATTGTCTGAGATCTGTGTGGCCATTGCAAGGGATTTTTAAACCCTGCTAAGTAGAGTATACTAAGGAGTTCTGGTAGAGTAGTGGTTACGAATCGGACTGCGAACTGCAAGGTCAGCAGTTCGAAACTACCAGCTGTTCCGCGGGAGAAAGATGAGGCTTTCTGCTCCCGTAAAGATTTACAGCCTCGGAAACCCTGTACAAGGGTTGCTATGAGTCAGAACTGACTCCACGGCACATAACAACAACAACAACAAGTAGAGTATACTATGGGAAGGATGGTTGGTATCACTTTTTGGCACCGAAGCTATAAATCACAGACTGCCTCACCTTTCTCCTGAGGAGCAGCTGGTGTGTGTGAACTGCTGACCTTGCAGTTACAGCCCAGTGCTTATCCTACAACACTACATACACCAGGACCCTGAGATAAGACAGCACAGGTATTATGGCACCCATTTAATTTATGACAAAACTAAGGTTCCAATCATTTTTCATTTTCATTTTCTGAAAACGGAAAATCCCTATATGGTAACTTTCTAAAAATTATAATTTCTGAGCAAAAAATTTCATATATGAATAACTGGGTTTTTTAAATGTGCCATATAAACTTGGATACTTATCTGTGGCTCAGGAAGCTAGAAAGTGGAAAATTAAAGTCAAAAGAGAAAATGAAGTACTGGAAGGAAAATGCTCTAATATCTGAACTCTTTCCTCTCACCCATCCCTTGACATCACAAAATTTATCCAAACAAATAGCTCAGTTACTAAACAGTTCTGTTCTAAGCACTTTACATGCATATTAACTCATTTAATCCTCACAACAACCCTGACGTAGCTACTACTCTTATCCCCATTTTACAGATGAGGAAACTGAAATATATGGAGCTATGAACTGAAGCTTCTGGACCCAAGTAGTGGGGGAATAGAAATGTCCTGAAATACCACAACTTCATTCTTTATGATGAACATAATTCCACTCAATATATTTGGTAGTCGTACACATAGTATGTATATCCTAATATTATGTAATACACAAACTGATGTCAAGCTTCTAAAACTCCACCTGGCCATTTGCTATGAAAATCCATCTGATGATATAGTATTTCCCACTAACAGTAGGAATATCATTCAATTCTGCTTCTTCCCCTTTCACAAAAGCAACTGCAGGCTCCCATAATTGCGCTGGACAGCAGTCGATTTGAACTGCAAGGTTGGTGATTCAAGCTCACCCATTGTTCCTAGGAAACCCTATACAGGGTCCCTATGGGTCGGAACTGAATTTTACTGCACGTAACAGCAACAGCAATAATAGTTCCACTGAGTACAGCCCTGAAGAGCTGCTGCCTAATCAAATCATAACCATACCAGACAAGCTGAACCCAGACTGGTGCAAGTTCCGGACAGGCGGGGCCTGTTGCTTGGCAGGAGACGTTTTAGCTGAGGAGGCTGGAGTGACTGTCTTGGGCGTCACAGACACCTCACACACTGGTCCATCGTACAGGCCTCGAGGAACCCCTCTCAGCTCCGCCAGCTGGAAAATACAAGATGCCACATTCACAAATGACGTCACACAGTCACCTTATAGCAAATCACCTGAACAGAGACCATGATCAGCCTGCAAGATGTGGGGGTGGACGGCTCGGCTTTCCAGAATCCAGTAGAACCACATCCACTTTAACTACCCACAACTCCAAGTTCAAATCTCCCAGTTATGGGTAACTTGGTTAGCTCTATATAAAGTGATTAATGTTTCTTTCTATTTTTTTCCTCCAAAGGACTACAACTTTAAATCCTGGCATCCCCAAACAGTTTGTGAGGATAGTTCGGTTTATATTCAAGAGCTGATCCCAAACTTTCCTTCCAATCTCAACCCGCTCTTAAGTTCCTACAGCTTTGTTCCTTGCCTGTGCCCCAGTTCCCAGTGCACTGTTCACCAAGCCCTGAACACACAATGATTTCTCCATGCTCATCAAGCTCCCTCTACCTAGAATCCTGTCTCCCTCCCCTGACTTGTCCAACCCCTTCATAACCTTCAAGACCTAACTCAAACTGTTCTTCCCGGTAACACTGTCCACCCCCCATGAATCCACAGCAGTGGGCCACTCCCTGGGCCCTTTCATCTGCTGGTCTGCTGAGCTCTGAATAAAAAAAAACACGTTTCCCTCAACCCAGTATCTCCCAAGCTCACTGTCTCTAAGCACTTCATAAAGGTTTGTACAATTGAACATGATCCATGATCAACACAATTCACAAAACTCACCCTGCTTCTTGCCTTGATACGCTTATAAACAAAGTCAGGGAAGGGTTTCCGGGGGACGTAGCGCCCAGAGCCTTCAGTGACATGAAGGGTGCCATCCTCCAGGACGATCTTCCCTTGGCTGATGACCACCAGTGGGGAACCACGGCACTCCACTCCTTCAAAGATGTTGTACTCGAGGGACTGGAGGAAGAAACACAGTCAACTTCAGAGCAGGTTCTGCCATTTTGGCTGGACCCAATCTGCTTGGCCAGCATCCATTGCCCTGACACTGCATGGACAGTCCAGAGACCTGAGCCTCTGCCCTGACTGATGTCTGTGGCTATTTAATCTGTGCCTTACTCTCATTGTCTGAAAACAATTTCGCTCTCGAAATCTGGGGATAAAAGTAATTGAATAGGATAAACACGTGGAAAAGTATGTGGGTGTTTGTTATATATACTAAGCAGTTCCAATCATATAAAATAGCCTGGGCTTCTGGGAAAATTCCAATTTTCCCAGTGACTTTCTTCCCAACTCACACACACCACACCAACAGGTTGAGCTCCAAAGGGCTTCTTTAACCCCATTCTGGATTTCATCTTGAAATGGGGCACCCACAAGTAGATTTTCCTACTAGCTTGCCTGGTTTTCTAATCTCTTAGCAATGTGGTTCAATGGAAATCTCTAAATGAAAGGATTGTGGTAACTTAGAGGCAGGCATGCCTTAGATAAAATGTTTGAGGTTTAGTTCACTTCCAAAGCCAAGGCAGCTATCCTTTGGGTTTCAAGCTTTTCAGAGTGAAACAGAACGTTATGTGTGTGTCCTCTTGGGATGTATACAGGGTATCTCTATATGTTCATATATTATTGTCAGGGGAAGGAAGGGGCAACAAGAAAACAGAGGGTACTGTACTCTTGACACCAAAGACTCCATGGGTTGGATCCTGTCCCGTAGCTTCCACTCACCCAACACTACTCCCCCAAATTTCATAATGCTCCCTGCATCCCCCTGCCTGCTGTGTTCCCAGGTACAAATGGCTGTAAGGAAGGCCAGGGCTGGGTGATTCATGAGTGGCTCCAACCATATAAAGCAGCATGGACTTGTGGGAAAATTCAAACAGTCAAAAGGTTCTACCCAGCTTCGAGCACTAAAGAAGTTAGAAGAGAGCTATAACTGTGTCTTAAGAGTTCAGCAGAACATTCTTCTTAGTGCCATGGTTAAGGTTGAATGGGTCTTGGCTAGCTTAACAGGCATCTGTATCAAAATGTAGTGGTGTTTGTGATACACGGAGTGAAATCCGGCTTGCAGCACTACTCTGAAGAAGCCTCTCAAAGGATATGAGGCTGAGAAGCACCGGAGGGTAGGAAGAGACCTAGGTTTGCAGCCCCAAGTCTCACTACCATGTCTCCTTGATCCTAAGACGTTCTTCACTGAAATCAAAATGTGCCTTACAATGGATGGGGCGCCACAATTACTGTCAGTCTAGACTGAAGTCAAGCTTACCCAGAGAACATTTGGGTTTGCTTTTCCCACAAGCCTGGGGACTACCAAGCGGAGGCCACTTTGCATTAACTTCTCAGCTTAAGGTTTGTCTGACCATGATGCTTTCAGTTTAAATTCTCAATGGAGGCTTTCCCCTTTCAAGCTTGTGTCAAAGCTGAAACACATGAGGTTTCTGGACATCCCTTTTCTGCAGAACTGATTCATTCTTCATTTACTAAAAATTCCTTATGGGCTCCCCACCCTGGGTGTCTTTTCTTTCTTAATGGTACAAAAACTAACAGAATATCTTAAAATCAATGGCATCTTAGATTTGGTGAAACCTAGGAGATGTTTGAGTAGATCATTTAATTCTGCCTAGCCGCTCCTCGGAAACCCTACATAGGGTCGCTTTGGGAGCCTAAGCTGACTCGACAGTACTAAACAACAACAGAGCTTCAAATTCTTCATCTGCCCTACCTCTCCAAGTTATCTGAAGAGAGTACACAGATAAAACATCACATCTGGACAATCCTCTCATTTTTAAATCAGCTTTTAAAAATTGACAGCCATCCTCTATAACCTAGAATTCAAGCCCCATCTGTCTAAACACAACTCCTCTTGCGCCCTACTGGACATTGCAACGGAGACAACCTTGGATGTGGCGACATCTTCCCTGGGTTCAAATCCCTGGTATGTCACTCACTAACTAGTGTGATCAGTCATTCAAACTCCTCCAAGTCTCAGCATTCTCATAGTAACGGGATACGGCTCAAGTCACACAATGGATACCAAAGAAAATCAACCAAATCACCTAACATGCTACTTGACACACTATAGACATTTAGAAAATGTGCATCCATTGCCGCTTTTCTTGCTTGCATTTTTCCAGCAAAATTGTAAGCCCTATAGTGTCAAAGATAGAAGGCACAAATAAAGAGTGCCTAGCTGTGAACCTTAAGGTCAGCGGTTCGAAACTACCAGCCGCTCCGCGGGAGAAAGATGAGGCTTTCTACTCCCGTAAAGATTTACACCCTCGGAAACCCTGTACAGGGTCGCTATGGGTCGGAACCGACTCGATGGCACTTAACAACAACAACAACAAGGCTAAACAAACAATTCATGAAAAATGATGGTATTGAAAAGAATGGACTTGGTCCACAAAATTTTTGAAATCCTTGATATACTGGAGTTCATTGTTGTTGGGTGCTATTCAATCTGACTCCTGGCAACCTTATGTGTGTGTGACAAATGAAGCGTGCCCAATTCGATGCCATCTTCCGGCATTGTATCAGGATATATTCTGCTAATTTTCAGGTCTTTCTAGTCTGTCAGTTCATTGTACTGTGGTAGCTTGCAGGTTACTGTGATGCTGTAAACTGCCATCAGTATTTCAAAAACCAACAAGGTCACCCATGGTGGACAGGGTTCACTGGACCTTCCAAACTAAAACAGAGATTAACTGCCTATAAATGATTGACCACAAATATCTAGAATATACAAGGGCTAAACAGGATAGTGTGGCACTGTGAGTTAATGCGCCAGACTGCAAAGCCGTTTTAACTATAAGGTTGATGGTTCAAGCTCACCAGTTGCTCCTTGGAAACCTTATACAGGGTCACTATGGGTTGGAACTGACTCAACGACAACAACAACAACAACAACAAAGGGGACAGAGGTAAATAGTGATATATATACAACCTTGGAACAACAGTGTTCTGTGGGTAGATACATAGACAGAGACATCGGGTACGGAAGGAGGAACGGGATCTTTACATATCCTATAAATATATAAGGGTTTGAAAGAGGATATTTATATATAGGTAGCCACAGGGAGGAAGCAGGACAACTGTTGTTGCATGGAGGGGAATGTAATCATTGAGATGAAACAAAGTGTATGTATGATTCATTGAATATAAAACTGATGACCATTACAATAAAAAAAAATTTTTTTTTAAAGGCACCTAGACTAGCTTTTGAGCTATCTGCCATTTTTTAAAGATGGAAAAGCCAGCCCCATGACTAAGTAACTTAAAATGATCAAGTCTAGTATTCAGAACACAGCTCACGGTATTCAACTCCTACCTGCTACCAAACTGTGTGGCAGTCAGCTGTCATTGCTCACCAGGTACAGATGTTTTTAACCTACATCTGCACCTGCTCACTGAGTTACTCATCTGGCTAGGTGCCTGGAAAATCCAAGCAGAGGTTACCAACAGGTCTGTCAATAATACTTAGCTAGATGTTCCAAATTCACGCTAATTACCCTCGTGGAAGGAAATACTGGATTCCATGAGAGAGTTTTCTGTTTGTATTTTACCACATGATAAGTGCCTCATGTTGTTGTTGTTGTTAAGTGCCGTCGAGTCGGTTCCGACCCATAGCGACCCTGTACAGGGTTTCCGAGGTTGTAAATCTTTACGGGAGTAGAAAGCCTCATCTTTCTCCCGCGAAGCGGCCGATAGTTTCGAACCGCTGACCTTAAGGTTCGCAGCCCGATTCGTAATCACTACGCTACCAGAGCTCCTTGTGTTTAAAGTGTTTGCTCTTTAAAAGGGGTGAAAACTAAAAGGGGCACTTTTGGAAATCAACACTTTTCATAGTCACCTGGAGGTGGTTGTTGAGTTAAGTGCCGTTGAGTCATTTCAACTCATAGCAACCCTGTACAGGGCTTCCTAGGAGCAGCTGGTAGGTTTGAACTGTGTACCTTGTAGTTCGCAGTCCAGTGCTGATCCTACAGTGCCACACCAGAAGTCCAAGGGTATGACTGTTGTTGTTGTTTAAGTGCCAGAGAACTGTTTTCAACTCATAACAACCCTGTATAGACAGAGTTTCCAAAGAGCGACTGGTGAGTTTGAACTGCCGACCTCTTAGTTCAAACTGACCTTGTGGTCCAGTGCTTATCTTACAGTGCCACACCAGGACTCTGGCAGTAAGGGTAGGGCAGAGCTTTGCTGGGGAAAGGTTTAGGTGGGAATCTGTCTAGAGTGCACAATCTGTCTTCCTACATCTTTACTCCTTTACATTCTCTCTCCTTACACAAGTTTGCTGCTGTTGTTAAGTGCTGTGAAGTTGGTTTCGACTCACAGCAGCTCTGCATAGGATTTCCAAGAAGTGGCTGGTAAGTCTGAACCACTGACTTTGTGGTTCAAACCAACCTTGCAGTCCAGTGCTTTATCCCAGTGCCACACCAGGTTAAGAACCCAAATAAAAGCTCCCCAGTGAAATCATCTGCATCTTAAATAAGGAGCCCAATTCACACTTTGTCTTATCTCTGTGATCAAGGAGGACTCTGGAAGGGAGGGAGAAGCATTTTGTCCAGCTAACCAGGATCAAGAGGCTGTAGATGCAATCTGGCAGGGAAGATCCTTGGACAATTTTGGGTTCTAATTCTGGCTCTACCGCAAAATAGCTATGTAACATTAAACTGGTCAACTAAGCTTGCTAAGCCTCCATTTATTTATCTTCCAAAATGGGATAATCATACCAGTTCCTTTATTGAGAAGGTCATATGTAAAAGTAAATGGTAGGGTGATTTTAAATGCAGATTAGCAGATAGGCTCCCTGGACAGGACTGCAGACTCCTGCCCATAAAGAGGCCATTGTGGAGCAGCACAGGGTGTGGTCTAAGATGAAAGTGGGTGTGACTGGAAGGCTGTGCTGAGCAGCTCATTTAGTCCAAGCAGAGGGAGAAAAATGCCATGTACTTTCCATACATTTCCATTGGTCATATCTACATAAATACGAAAAGGGTAAAGAGCAGGGCTCCCAAGAGGCTCCCACCATCCCGGCACCAACAAGAGACTGGAGGTGAGCCAAAACACCTCAATCAAGTGACAGCGGACTGGCAGATGGAGAAGGGCCCAGGCTTGTCGAGGAGAAATGCCAAAAACCCACCTTTGAGCTGACACAGTGCCTGGGGAAGGACCAGTACTTGCTGGCAGAGGTTGTCTGGGATGGGATATTCTCTGTTGAGCCAACTTCCCATTAAGAGTGCCATTTAGAATACCATCGTCATTCACAGAGAATTCACTTCAGGATGTGTGAGACTTCCTGACACAAAGCATTTATGCCCTCTGCCGGCTGTCCAGGCTCTTTCGTTTTAATATATGTATTTGACTTTTTCTATTAAGAATGAGTGGTACCTAACACCTCTGCTTATTGACCACTGACATTTTAGAAGACAAGGTATCAAAGTCCCTCATTCTTAGCTGGGAAGCCTGAGTCTCAAAGTACTTGCCCATGGTCCCATTCACAAGGAGCATATCCTTGACCTCCACAGCCTAGAATGAGAGGCCAGCAATATCCCAAATGTCAAATCTCAAACGTATCATTGAGGGGATATTTCTTCTATTTGGGGACAAGTGAAAATCAATTAATTCCCTGAAAAGAGTAATAGCAACTATCATTCAGGTCTCAGTAACAATACTGTGTGGGAGAGCAAAGGCTCAACAGAACAAAAGTGCCCCTGGGCATCTCAGGAGTACATTAGGAGGTTTCATTTAGGATCCTTGTACCAAGCACTGTCATGAGAGGTGCTATAACAAAGCTAGTTAAACGGAACCGTGCCTGATGACTCTGAGAGGTTTCTGATGTCCTGGCATGGCTCGGGGAGATCTAAGGGTCAATAGATAAGAAGCCTGGTACTCCAAAATGGTAAGCATTAACAGTCGTGTTGCCCTCGCTAAAGAAAATAAATAGAGCTATTTTTTCTCAGCAAACTGCAAGCTATTGCAATTTCCTGGGGAAAAAAGGAAAGTTAATTCTTATTATATAACTTAATCTTTTTACAACTCCCCACTCTCCTGTCTCCCCTTCTGTGACTTCAATTCCTTTGGATTGAGTGTGCATGGTTAGCAGGCCTTACGCTGTTGTGGGTCTTGGCGGAGATGGTCTTAACGCTATCTGGGTCCCAGATGACCAGGTCAGCATCAGACCCCACAGCGATGCGGCCTTTCCGGGGGTAAAGGTTGAAGATTTTGGCCGCGTTGGTACTGGTCACAGCCACAAACTGGTTCTCATCCATCTTCCCGGTGACCTAATGAACACAGCACACACACACCAGAAGTTTGTTAAAACAGTTAAGGATGCAAGGCTATTTATTTAGCAATAAAAAGAGGCAACTATGGATACATGCAATGACTTAAGGGCATTATGCTCAGTGGGGAATAAAATAATCTCATAAGATCCTATACCACATGGTTACATTTATATGTTGTTATTATGTGTTGTTAAGTCAGTTCCGACTCACAGTGACCCTCCATAGGGTTTCCAAGAAGCAGCTGGTAGGTTTGAACTGCCAACCTTGTGGTTCGCAGTCCAGTGCTGATCCTACAGCACACCACACCAGGTCTCCTATTGTTGTTGCTGCTATTAAGTGCCATCAAGTTAGTTCTGACTCAATCAACCCAGATAGGATTTCTGAGGAGCAGCTGGTGAGTTTGAACCACCAAGCTTGTGATTCAAACAGCCTTTCAGTCCAATGCACTATCCCACAGTGCCAAACCAGGACATTCCCAAAATGGCAAAATTACAGAGCTGGAGAACAGATTTGTGGTTGTCAGGTGACAGGGACAATAAGGGGATGGGGGGGGGGGCAGCATTTGTAACAATGGAGGAATTTTGAATCCTGACTGCAGCAGAGGTTACATGAATCAACATGTGAAAAAATGTCACTACCACCAAAATGTGTACCATTGTCAATTTCCTGATTTGATGCTGTAGGCATCCTAGTGTGGCACTGTGGGTTAATGTGCTGGACAGCACCAGCGGCTCCTTGGAAACCCTATACAGCATCGCTAAGGGTGGGAACTGACTTGATGGAACTTAACAACAATATAATTATATAAGATGTAACCATGGGGGAAGCTGGGAGAAGGCTACATGGGATCACTCTATACAACTTCTTCTAAATCTATAATGATTTCATGATAAAAACTTTTATAAAATATTGGAAGGGGCTGCAACAATTCTCCAGGAAATATCATCTGGCTTCATGGGCTGCTGTTTTCAACAAAATATAGGTGGCTCACCGAGTCTTCTAGTTTAGAAGATTGAGAAATCTCAACTCGACTTCTGGCTAAAAGCAACAGGCCTTACATAGTTCCCTAAGTCCTTGTATTCCCTGTAATTTCTCATCTTCAACATTTGTGCTCCACTGGCACTTTAGCCACAGAATTCAGAGAAATGACACATATCTCTGATTTAGAAAACTCACTCTTGAAGCCAGTAGAAAAAACAGGCAGAGAACACCAAGTATTTCAGGGAAAAATGTCTATCAGAAAAAAACTTTTTGCTCTTATTAGTAAATAAAGAAATTGGATAAAAGAGAGTAAGACACAAAATTCACCGAATGAATCAGCAAAGTTTTTGTTTCACTGTTAATGAGGACATGGGCCTGGTAAAGGAGGCAAGGGAATGGCATACATTGCTGGTGGTATACAACTTCATGCAAGATTCCTGGAAAGGACTTTGGCAAAAAATATCAAAAGCCTTAGACTATATATACTTTGTGACCCAGTAATGCCACTTCTAGAAATTTCTAAGGCTTTAACTAAGAATGTGTACTAAAGGTAAGTCTACAAGGATGTCCACCTTCAGTAAAAAAAAGTAAGAAACAACATAAATTATCAACGAGTAGATTAAAATGAATTAGTGCTCAGCATTGAGACAGAACAGCGCTATTAGGTATGCCTACGGCTATAGAGAACTTTTCATGATATGCTCAGTTTAAAAGAATCACACCTCCGAAACTGTATGATCCCAATGTTATCTACACACACACACACATACACACACCCGCACATGTGTACACAGCATGCACAAACACGTGCCCTCATGCAATGGCCAAAAAAGAAATGACATTCACCAAAATATTAATTGTAACTATATCAGAAACATGATTTTTATGCACGTCCTTGTTCTTTTTATATCAGGCTAGATTGTTTACATAAGGAGCTCTGGTAGCGTAGTGGTTACAAATCGGGCTGCGAACCGCAAATTCGAAACTACCAGCTGTTCCATGGGAGAAAGATGAGACTTTCTGCTCCCGTAAAGATTCACAGCCTTAGAAACCCTGTACAGGGTCGCTATGAGTCGGTTCCGACTCCACGGCACATAACCACAACCACCACCACCATATTGTTTACATAATCGATGATATCCATGAAAAAATGACAAAAAAACCCCAAAAAAACTAGTTCTATTATTATGCTTTAAGATAATGAAAATGAAAAAGCCCAAAGACCCCTTCAAGGTCAGCATATGTTGGGGATGCTAAGCTTAGGGAGCTCTAAGAGACAGTTTGAAGGAAATTTGAGTCCATTTCCAAAAGCAGAAGAGGATTAACTCTTCAGGTTGCTAAGGAAGTTTTTTCCTGACAATCCACAGAGTTGTATTTTAAAGACTCAGTGTTTTTCTCAGTCTCTGCTATTCCATTGACACTAACAACATAAAATATATACAGAGGGGGGTGCCATCAAAGTTGGTCCTGTCTCACGGTGACCCCCTATAGGGTTTCTGATGCTGTAAATCTCTATAGGAGTAGAAAGCCTCATCTTTCTTCTGTGGAGCGGCTGGTGGATTTGAACTGCTGACCCTGCGGTTAGCAGTCCAACTTGTAACCCACTACACCATCAGGGCTCCTTAAATACATGAGAGGGTTTCAAAAAGTTCATGGAAAAATTCTTTTATCTTTTTATTACAGTTTCCACAATTTTTTTGAAGCCCCATTCACATGTTATATATAGACAGAAACACCTATAAGAGTAATCTCCTATTCCCAGACCTAAGAAATACTGTCTAACAAGTACACCAGCTTCTAGAGTTTTCTCAACTGTGATTTCAAGGTGCTCATGAGACCCTGGCCCTCAGCTAAGGAGGAAGGGGAAAGTTGAGGTCACTGCTCCTTACCACAGCCTTATCCCAGATGACGGACATCCGCTCTTCAGTGCCATTGGTGCCCTCAGGAATCAAGGTGAAGTTATCCTTCCCCACAGCTTTCTGGGCAGTGTTGAAAGTACAGTGGGCACTGCCAGTGACCTGGAGATCTCCACTGTAAGGAAAACGGACTGGCTTTTAATTCATCTTTGACTTCAAATCAACCTTGAACATCATACTACTTCTATGTGTCCTGGGCAACTAAAAGGAGTTTTTTTTTTAAATAGTCTATCCTCCCCTCAGAAGAAAGAAATTGGGGGAAATACTTATTATCATACTGAATCTTCACTGTAGTGCTGTGTAGCTAGACCTATGCAAAGAGGTATTTTAGGGGTGGCAGTATACCATAATGGACTCCTTCTAGCTATTTCATTAATATCCTCTAGTTGATTTTCAAGATGGCCCAGGTTTTAAAATGCAATTCCCTCCCATAAGAGTTATTATTCCTTGTTCTTATTTAGCGACCCTAGTTTAGAGAACAAGGGCCTATTTGTTTGCAAGCCTGCTTTCAGCCACCATACTCCAAGTTACTAGGTCAATTTGATGTGAGGATGAGCAGTGTATAAAGTATAAGTGCGTCATCAGTACTCACCAGGACAGTAAGGAGTTCAGAAAGTCTGGAGTGGTTGGATCAGGGCTCAGAGGTGGGGAGGTGACAAAGGCAGCAGCCTTCGCCCAGTTCTTGCTCCAGTAGTGGGAGCCATCAGTTCCCAAGCTGGCTGTGATGGGCTCGCCATACACCACAGTTCCTGACAAAGAGAACACACCAGGCATCAGTGGGATACACCAAGGATGGAAGGAAGCCGTTCTCACTGCCAACTGTTCTCACTACCCTTTCAGAAACAGACATTAGTCACATCTCAGATGAGCCTTCCTCATCTGATGAGAAGCTACTGCACCACCCTCCAGGTCTGTCTGAAAGAGAGAGACCAGATTCACAGGTGACTCTGTAAGAGTGAAAAATAAACCATGTACGTTAAGCTATGGAGATTTCTGAATTTCACGAAGCTTGTAGTTGCGACTTGCCTTTCATTTCAGTCAGCCCCTGCACAATGGGAAAACACATTGTCCAGTCTCATCATTGGGATACATATCGGACTGCTGTGATCCAGAGGGTTTGAATTGGTTTATGTTTCAAGAAGAAAGACTGCCAGAGCTTTCTTTCTACTCCATCTTAATCTTGAAGCACTACCAAGCCTTTATGAAAGCAGACTTTCTGCTGCAAAGCTGATGGTGAGCTCAAACTACTGACCTTCAGTTAGCAGCACAATACTAAACCCACTGCACCCAGTGAGTCCTGTACCTTAAATGCATCCTCCTCTCTGTCCACTCCATATACCTCATCCTTTTAACCAGACCCTTGCCATTTCTCACCACCTCATTACAACAAAGCCTACCAGTTAGACTTTAGATTTATTTTTGCTTCCCCAGTCTTTTTCCCAACCTCTCCACTCATTCCCCATGACACCTCCAGAGTGATCTTCCTGGAACCCAATCGTTCTAGACCATTCTCCTGCAGAAAATCCTCCTTTGGAGTCCTTCTGCCTTCAAGGATAAAAACAAACTCCTCCTTGAAGTGTCTCCTGACTTCATTATCGGGCCTCATACCAAAGCTGACTCACTCCAGCTTTAACATCATTCAAAACAGGATTCAGGCATTATTCCATCTGTCTGGAAATCCCATCCTTTACACCAATAATCAGTTTTGAATTTCTTTTATCTCTACTTGATAGGAACTGCCTAAAGCTTCGGCCTGACTATAGTAGGCACTCAGTAAGTGTATAGCAAATGGATTAAATGGTCTAATAAAGCATTCATTTAAGGTATGAAAGCTGGAATTTGAATGGAGGTTGGCTTACTACCACCAGGAATTCACTCTCTCCCCATGTTCCTCCATTGCAGAGCCAAATCCCTCCAGCCCAATAGTTCTTTCTCCAACAACAGGACTCCCAGACAGCTTTCAAGGCCAAACACTTCTCAGTCAGGAATGTATTGCTCTTCTTCTCCAGTTTTTGCTAGGGCCTTATCACTTGATAAATATATCACAACACCCTCTTTGCTGCAATCTGCCACTCTGAGAGCTAGCTCCACAAGAGCGGCCCCCTCCAGCCTCAGGAATTTCACAAAGGAGTCGCTGTTCAGCTAGGGGGTGTTGGAGGGCAGGGCAGGCAGTTCATTTCAGGAAATCACTAACAATCCCCAAGCAGGAGGGCTGCTTCTGAGCCCAGGGGAAACCTGGCCTTGAAGGAAACCCCAAAGAAGAGAAGAGCCAATGCTAAGAATCGCCTGGAAAGGTACTCCCCTGGGTTCCAACCTATTCAGTCTCCCAGTCAGAAAGTGGTCAGAGAAGCCAGCTGGGTGGCTGCACAAACTGAGTTGGCTCATCCCAAAGTGAAAACCACTGCCTAATGAGTTGGCCTTGGCTGCCAAACAAGGACATTTATGAAACGCAAATGGCTGAGCAAAAAAACCCACCTCCAGCCCATGGTTCTCACAGGACCTCTGGCTCCCAGCATTCAGCTCGAGCTTCAAGGGTAACTGGTGAAGTGTAGCTCTTAGACCCAGCCAGGTCTGGCAGCCCCCACTGACTATTATCTGAGTACAGAGGTGAGGTTTGTGCAAGTCCTTAGGAAAATACAGATTCTATAACCCTCAAGACTTTCTGGTTTGGTCAAAATGAAAAATTTCAAGAGAGCAGAGCTGGTTGGAGAAAAAAAAATGGCTTTACAGTCTTTGGAAATCCTGGGGCAAAGACATCAACATACAATGTTTTAATAACTTTCCTGAAATTTGTCATTGCTTGTCCTCGTCCTCTCCCCACACACTCCCTGAATCCACTCTGCAGTCCTGCCCTTGAAAACTTCAGTATGAGAGGGGTTAGAACTTAGGAATGTGCGTGAACACACTGAGGCTGAATGCTGTTGACTAAGGGGGCTGAAGGGGTTGAAAACTCATCTTTCTCAGTGAAATCCAACTCAGATTGGGAAGCAGGATCTTTGGGTCACCTCACACTAGACAGTGAACTTGATCTTCAATCTCTGGAAAACCCAGAAATGAGTCAGAGCTTTGAAGGCCTTTACTGACCAGAACCTACCTCTTTAGACCAAGACCCTTGGACCTGGGCCAGCCAAGCTAAGATGGGGAGGGGGCGGAGGGAAGTAGGACAGGAGGAGAGAATATTGCTACTCATGTCTGCTTTTCTCTGCTCAGATACCCTCAGGGCATCACAGGGCTTTGGCTGGGTTAACATTGTCCTTTTTTTTTGCCTTCCACACGATCATTATAGATTATATATATATTCTTTTTTTGTTGTTTTTAAGTTTTTATTGTGATTTGAGTGAAAGTTTACAGGACAGATCATCAGTTTTACATTCAACAAATCATGTACTCTGTTTCATTACAGGTACCAACAGTTAACAGTGTTTCTCTCTATTCATTTTAGCTTTTTTTTTCTTTCTTTTTTTAAATACTCAGGCATATATAATAGTTTACACCACCAAAGGGCACATTCTTCAAGTCTGCCTCCTGGCCACCAGCTCTCAGTCCCTCTCTTCCCATGAATCTAGAGTCCTCAGCTGCTCCTTCTCTCCATGTCCCCATCTCTGCCTCCATCTCTGGTGTCGCTGCTTCTCCTGGATAAGGTCCTGCATTCCACTTGTGTTCCTCTCCCTTGATGGTCCCACGGTCCTCTGTTTCTGGACTGTAAGATTAACTACTCCCCCGCTTTTGGGTTCACATTGTCTGTTGATTTTATTTCTTTTCTTCAGCCTCAAAAGGCAAAGTAGTAGTTAAACTATCATATATCATCAGGCCTCTGTAGTACATGGATGGTACAAAGGGTCTAGTTTGGCTGGTAACCAAAAGGTTAGATGTTTGATTCCACCCACAGGCAGCTGAGAAGAAAAGCCTGGTGGTTGTTTCTGAAACATCACAACCATTAGAAACCCTATGGCTCTTTTCTGAAACACAGGGAGTAGCCCTGAGTCAGAACTGATGTTTTTCAATCAGGCCTCAACCTCCAGGGGGAGCCCGGATCCACACTTTGGAGACTGCCTCCCATTATCATTGACCTGGATCCTCCCCGAAAGGACTGCTCTCTCCATTTTATTACTTCTGAACTACAGGGAGCCATGGATGAGCTTCCAGAGATCAGTTAGGCCACAGATAGCATTTAACTTCATGCCAGAAATAATTACCACTAATAATAATAAACCATAGAATAGGTTTAATAGGCCTGTCTGCACTTCTCCAAACACACTGCTGACACTTTTTTGGCTTCTGTTAGACCTTCACAATTTTATTCTCCAGGGAAAGTCTAAACTGAAAGATGTAACCCCCCCAGGCCAGCCTTTGGCAGACTCTCCAGTAAGGGGGCGGGTAGGGAGGGGGAGCTGCAAGGACTCATTCACAACAGTCCCGGGGCCTAACGGCATTCATGAAAACTAGAATGGAAGGCTGGAGCTTAGAAAAGTTTGACAGCTCTCAAGCTCTGACAATTACTTGTAATGTCATTTCCCATGAGCAAGAAGCAGGAGGACAAATCCCAAGTCAGAATAAGTGAAAGGCAGCTACATGCATTTCAAAATGTAGTTACAAAAGTACAGTGAAAACTCATCTAGACACATCGACAAAGACACGCACACATACACATCCCACTTTTCCTCTTCTTTCAGAGAACCCACACCAGAACCCAATCCTGGGAACCTCCACTGAGAACCTTCTGATGGAGAAGTGAGACTTAGCAAGCTTCACAGGCTCACCCTTGAGCCGCTACGTTTGGGTACAAGGCTACTATGCTATGGAGTAGCTTAATACTCCTTAGTTTTAAGTTCACCCCCACACTGGGGTGCTCCTGATACACCACATGACCACATGGTTCTCATTACACTTCAGCCATTCCTAAGAACCCACAGGGTCTTGCTTTGAATTTGGGTTTCCGGGAACCTAATGTCCTTCAGCAGTTACAATACTTCTGAATGTTTCTGCAGCTGGGAGTGAGGAGGAGGAGGATGGAAAAAGGAGTCTGTTTGATGAGGTCACCAGACAATGCTTACAAGCTACACATGAGAGGCATCAGCACCCACGCTGTATTACACCTGGAGAGAGTGCAGTCTCAGGGAACTTGTTCTAGAGAAATCCCTAGGTGATATTGAACTTTCAGGTGGAAGAAGAGCTGACATAGGATCAACACTGGGCTGCGAACCACAAGACCAGGAGTTCAAACCCACCAGCTGCTTATAGGAAACCCTCATCGGCACTTAACAACAAGAGGATCCAGAACAAGATATTCTCAAGTGAGCTAATTAAATCCACCAATGTGTAAATTCGTCCCAAAAATAAAAACGGCCCAGAGTACTCTGATTCTAGCTGTGTCCTATCCTTATCTGTACACTGGGGTTGATGACAACAGCAGCATGTGACACGTTATCTCTCGGGGGAAGGCCATGCAGTGCTGTTGGATCCAGTGCTGTGTGCTGTCAATTCTGACCCAGAGAAACCTGACATAGAGCAGAGCAGAACTGCCCCCTCACCCCCAATAGGGTTTCCAAGGCTATACTCTTTACAGAAATGAGTCGAGTAGGCATGTGAAAATCGTCTTCAATTGCATTTTATCTTGCATCCTCACTTTCTGTCCTAGAATGAGGGCCAGCAGGTCTCTGGGTGGGAGGAACATTGGAATCACTAAGAGAAGTCGATGTTCCTGCCCCGGCGAGCATTGTGCCTTTTAACAGCTCACATTGGTAGGAAAAATAAGGAGTCCTGCTGTGGTGCAAGGTCGGTGGTTCAAACTCACCAGCCGCTCTTCGGAAACCCTACACAGGGTTGCTATGACTCGACAACACTTAACAAAAATAACACAAGCTAAGGAAGTCCTGGTGTTGCAGTGGTTAAAGTGCTCAGTTATTAACTGAAAGACCAGCGGTTTGAACCTACCAGCGGTTTGAACCTAACAGCTGCTCTGTAGGAGAAAGATGTGGCCATCTGCTTCAAAAAGATTTACAACCCTTGGAAATCCCATTTGGCTGCTCTACTCTGTCCTATAGGGTGTCTGAGAATTGAAATTGACTTGACAGCATTAGGTTTGGAAATGCAAGCCAATTCTCCTAAGATAGGCAAGGGGGGTATCAGTAATCATGATTCCATCCTCTAACCATCCTTTACTCCTGCCTCTTTGATAGCATTTATCATTGTGAATTTCTACCTGTGTTCTTCCGTACTAGTAGAGGAGCTGAGGACTGGGACCATTTCTTATCACCTCCAGCTTATGTGCCAGGTATAAGTCAAAGCTTGTTGAATCGACAGAGAAACTCCCTTTTTACAGAGGAAGAAATGGAGCAGCAGAGAGTTCGCAGTGCCTCACGCTTTCTAACAGGAACCAGAAGAAACCACCTGGAGTAAGAAACAATCCTTAGCAGAAACCCTTTGCCCTAAACCAGCAGGCATCTTAGCTCAGCTTTCCTAATCCAGCAGGTTAGACTAGCCCTCTGCCCTTTATTCTTAGTAATAATAATAAAAGTTTAGTACAGGCTCCTAGAATGCATGGAAAGACTGAGATTTTGGGAAGAACCTCACCTCACTAGTTCTTTTCACTTATTTTCATTTTTGTGGATCTGTATTTACTAGAGTATTTCAGTATTAACACCCTGAGGTAGTCTGCTCCTATGAAGAATCACAGCTCTAGGAATCTCACGAGTCAGAATTGACTCGACGGCAGTGTGAGTGAAGAATGGACCTTTTATTAAAAGGGTTAATCAGACAGATGGCTGCTGAGTTGATTTGTGGCTTCCTACAAATATAAGTTGTAGATTTTGGCTTCTCTTTGGGAAGTCAGCTAACTTCCATATATTATGATATACTGTGAGCGTATTATTTTGTTAACTAATAAATCAGTGACAGAAAAGGAAAAAAGAAAAGTCGATTGCAATTCAAGGAGACCCATGTGTGTCAGAGTAGATCTGTGTTCCATTGGGTTTTCAATGGCTGTGATCTTAGGGAAGTAGATCACCAGACCTTTCTTCTGAGGTGCCTCTGGGTGAACTTGAATCTCTAACCTTTCAATTAGTAACCAAGCACTTAACCAGTTAGGCCACCCAGGAAAATCCTAATTGTCCTGGTATGATGCTGTAAGATCAGCACTGGACACACAAGGTCAGCAGTCCAAACCCACAGCAGCCACTCAGAAACCCTATCCAGGGTCACTAAGAGTCAAGTCGGAACCAACTCAACAGCAATTAACAATAACAATGCATCCTTCACATGCACTGAAACATCATCATAACACAATGAGTGGAGTAACTACTATTATCCTCACCTACAGATGAAACCTAGATGGGAACAGAGACCTAGTGATGAAAAGTAGCCTGCCCAGCATCACAACTAATGAACAATAGAGCTGAGAATTGGTCCAGGCAGTTTGATCCCAGAGAGCAAACCCTTCATAATTCCTGTCCTGACTCTCTCACAATGTTCTTATAAAGTTCAAACAAGATATGAAGTAGCCTTGTGGGGGAGGGCCGTGGCTGTGTGCCACCGAGTCAGTTCTGACTCGTAGTACAGAGTTTTCGAGGCTATAAATCTTTACGGGAGCAGAGAGCCTCATCTTTCTTCTGCAGACCAGCTGGTGGATTCAAACTGCTTACCTGTGATTAGCAGCCCAGTGTGTAATTCACAATGCTACCAGGGAGCCTTAACAATCTGCAATAAAAGCTAGGATTTCTCACTGTTTGTAAGTACCCAAGGAGCTCTGGTGGCACAGTGCATTAAGCATTGTGCTGCTAACCACAAGGTTGATGGTTCAAACCCACCTGTCACTCTGCAGGACAAAGATGACGCTGTCTGCTCCTATAAAGATGTACAGTCTCACAATCATTTCAATGGCAGTGGGGTGGTAAGATTTGATTTTTGTAGTTAGCACCCAAATACACCAGAAAGTTCTTTCTGGCACTCTGGTTTTTGTCTAAAATTAAGACTTTCAAGAACTAAAGGGTGACAGGATGAATGCAAGGGCAGCCTAAGATCACGGGTTGGACACAAGTAGACGCATGCTGGAAGTTTCTAGGATGAGCAGACTGAAGCAGTCCCCTCAAGGTCCCTGCTCACCCCTGCATACACACACAGGGTCAACATTGTGAAGACCAGCAGAATTGGGTACTGAGGGTCAGAGTGTGAGAGCAGACCTGGACTCTAATAGAACAGTCCAGCTCCTCACCCTCAAATGAAGAAAGGGGAGGGAGCTTCAGCGCTGCAAACCAGGCTGGGCTCCCCAAATCCAGTCCAGAGTAATTCCAGAATCCATCTGCCTGTGTGTTAGACTGGCAGAGGCTGGGCTCTTCTACTGAGTTGAACAGTGGATGAATGTGAGGTAAGCTTTGGAAAACAATGCCTCAACCTAAAGTTCTGTTAAATGTTTGCTATCCAGGTAGGCTGTGGCTGCTAAAATAAATAAAAGTTGCCACCTATTTCCTCCTTTTTCAGACTCTGCGCCAACTGTCCCAATGTAACGTGGAAGTGGTGATGCCGTGATTACAGTGCTCAGATTGTTCCCACATAGGCCCAGTCCCAGTGCAAACATGTGCCTAGGTGAGGAGGGTCACCAGCTCAGTCGTCATCCACAATATTTCCTAGAAATGCAACTCAAAGCTGATTCTGAGTAGATGATGTTAGTCTAGGTGACTTCATTTTAATTTCAAAAAGGCAATTCCTTCCAGCTGCCAAGAGAGGGCAGTGTTCCAAGATGGTGATGCAGCAAATGTGTGATGCAAAGCCTAAAGAGACAGGCCCCCGGAGAGCTCCAAGAACAGGGGCCAGGGACTGCTGGGTCCATCTGGAAGCTATCATCTCTTGGGACAACTTGACTCAGTGATCAATGAGCCATTTGTTCTAGGTCTTCCTCCAAGTCACCCACCTTATCCACGTGGCTCAGATCCCGCAGAGGACTAAACACTGAGTCAGAGAAGTCAAACTGTTCCATTACTAACAGAGAACTACAGACACAGAGAGAAAAAAAAGTGTGAGAATGGGACGAACAGATAGATAAACAGATATTTGTTGTTGTTGTTGTTAAGTGCCATCGAGTCGGGTCCGACCCATAGCAACCCTGTACAGATATAGGTTAGATTAAATCGACAGATAGATCTAGAGACCAAGAGAGTTAGAGACAGAACACTAGAGACCAAGAAAGAAAGAAACCATAGACAGATAGATAATAGATAGATGACAGATACAGAGATCAAGAAAGTCAGACCAAAAAAAGAAAGAAACCAGGCAGAAATCATGGGTAAAAGGAGGAGACATGGAGATCAGAGATGCAGTGAGAAACAGAACAAGGGAGGAAAAGAGATGGGGAGATACACCAAGTCCAATCAGGAGGCATTATGGGAAGAAAAAGGACCCGTTCATACATGTTCAGGCCAGCCTACACACATTGTGTCAAACACAATTCTATACTATCACAGAGCCACATTTTCAAGCACAGCATGTGTGACTATCCAAAGTCATGAAACAAATGGAAGGTTACAGCAAGGCTCTACGGCATTCATTATGTATAAGGAACTCCATGGAACAACCTCGGGCAGAAGTGCTGGAAGCAGCAATTAACAAATTAGTTTCCAGTCACCTTCTCAAAGGACTTCCTCAGAATAACAGAGGACTCACCCTCAGCAGAGATGTATGAATGTAACCAGCAGTAGCATATTTACAAGAGTACTGGAATAACTGGACATGATGGGGTCCACAGCAAACCCCCACCCCTACCCGAGGCTCCCTTCCTTACCCCAGCGGAAATCATTCCCAGTCATGGAGGGGAAAAGCCTTTTGCAATATAACGTTCCCCAGAAGGACTCTGTGGCAGATGGAAACTGACGTAATCTGTGGATGTGCCTAGTTTATTTAGACGGCATCAAATTAAATCCAACTTTTCTACAGAAGGGGGGCAGGAGGGAAATGTGCCTGCCCACCCACTCTTTGCTGCACGCGGCTTTAAATAGATACTAACAAGGCCGCAGCAGTGGAACAAAGGGAGGAAACTGGAGCTCTCTGCCTCGCTTCACTGTAATTAGGTTAATGCTGGAACATGATGAAAGTGGCCCAGTTGGCATGAGGGTCTGGAAAAGGAACCACCTGAGTACGGAGCACCCCTTCCCTTGCTCTCCCAGCATGCCCACACCTCCTCAGCAGCTGCACTCACCCTTTTTCCGGCCCTGGGCGATGACTTCCGCTGCACTCTTGCTCATCACTTTTGTGATGTACAGGGGGCAGTTGGTCTGGTTGGCTATGGTGATGGAACGATTCACAGCCTCAGCCTCCACCTATAAAGAAGCATCTGAATATGAGAACACAGTCTGGCACACGAGCCCCTTTCTTTATTCTACACCCATCAAGACATGTGAAAAGAAGTAGACCATGATACACTGCTCTATCCTCAAGTTTCTACCTTGAAGGGCACTGGGGAACGCAAGTGGGTGAGTAGCCCACTGCCACCCCATACTGGTTAGTTGAAATGTTGGAGAAATGCCTGCCTGATTCTGTTCTGGGTCCACAGTGGTTCTCCAAGGAATGGTCAGCAGATCTGAGACTTCAGCATCAGCTTGGAGTTTGAAGAAATGCAGATTCCCAGGCTTTATCCCAGGTCTACAAAGTCAGTAACTAGGGGGATGGTGGTGGTGATGGTTGCATGCTGTCAAGTCAGTTTCCACTCACAGAGACCCTGTATAGGGTTTCTGAGGCTGTAAAACTTTATGGGACCAGAAAGCCTCATCGTTCTCCCACAAAATGACTGGTGGATTCGAACTGCTGACCTTGCAGTTAGAAGCTAAACTCATAACTAACTAGGCCACCGAGGTTATTTAACCATGGGAGTATTGCTGAAACTCATAGTGACCCTGTATAGGGTTTCCAAGGAGCAGCTGATGAGTTTGTACCGCCAACTTTGCAGTTCAGACTAACCTTGTGGTCGAGTGCTTATCCTACAGTGCCACACCAAGACTCCAACTACAGGGACTCAGCAATCTGAGTTTTAACAACTAGTGGTGCTGTGGGTTAAGTGTTGAACTGCTAACCACAAGGTCGGTGGTTTGAACCCACCAGCCACTCTACAGAGAAAGATGAGGCTAGCTGCTACTGTAAAGATTTATTCTCAGAAACCCTAAGTAGCGATTATACTCTATGCTATAGAGTGTCTATAAAAGGAGCTCTGGTAACACAGTGGTTATGAATCGGGCTGCTAACCTCAGGGTCGGCAATTGAAACTACCAGCTGTTCCGCAGGAGAAAGATGAGGCTTTCTGCTCCTGTAAAGATTTACAGCCTCGGAAACCCTGTACAGGGTGCCTCTGCGTCAGAACCGACTCCATGGCACATAACCACCACCACTACCATAGAATCTCTATGAGTCAGTATCGACCTAATGGAAGCAAGCAGGTTTTAACAATCCTTGTCCCTGGATGGTAAAACAGTTTACAAGTATGGCTGGTAACCAAGAGACTGGCAGTTCGAGTCTACCCATAGGCACCTTGAAAAACAGTGTGGTGATCTACTTCCAAAAAATCAGTCCCTGAAGGCCCTATGGAGCCACACGTGGGGTTAACATGAGTCCGCATTGATTTGAAGGCAATTGCTTTGACTTTAGGTGATATTTACGCTTGAAGCTCTGGTAGTGTAGTGGTTACGAATCAGGCTGCGAGCCTCAAGGTCAGCAGTTTGAAACTACCAGCTGTTCCACAGTACAAAGATGAGGCTTTCTGCTTCCATAAAGACCTACAGCCTCGGAAGCCCTGTGTAGGTCGCTATGAGCCGACTCCACGGCACATACCCACCAACAATGTTTGAGAACCATTGTGCACGGAGACACTGCCCCAAGTCAGTGTAGTCATTCTGTTTACATGATCTTGGGTCAAGATATTCAGTGATGTCACTTGTGTGCTGGGCTTCAGTCAGATGGCCACGAAGAAAGCCAGCATCGCCCACAGAACAATGTGACCTCACAGGGCTCCCAGAATGGAGCAGACATTTGTGTAAACCAAAGACCTTCTGTATACAAAGCATGACAAGCTTCCACCAGCCTGCCACAGACTGGTACAACCTTCGCCATGCCAAGAGGGAGGAGCTGCTCTCATAATTGGGTTCTTTAAACCTCATGCTTCAATTAATGATTTTTTTTTTTTCAAAGATTCCAATTGATCATCACTATTCAATACCTGACTAGGTAGGATCTTTCAGAGGAACCTGCAATGTGTGTCTTTAATGGCATAAAGAGTGTGCAGGTTAAATTCTGGGACTGCAGGTCTCAAAAATCTATTTCTTCCTTGACAACAACTCAAAAGGTTAGACATGAAGATTTGAGGGAGGTGAGTTTATGCTGATGAGGGAGGAACAATTCGGAAAATGCAGATAAGAATAGCCGCACAACTTGAAGAAAATACTCAGATGTCACAAAATTGTATGTGGAAACAAAATTGGTGAATTTTTGCTTGCCTATTTTCAACAGTATCAAAAAAGTAAAAATTGTTCTAAATAAAAATTTCAATGAAAACAAATTCATTTGCTTTGTGCTCCCAAGATTTGGTTAAATGCCATGGCTTAAAGTGGATCTAACTGGGTTTTGTATTCTCCATGCCCTCCTAAGAGCTCCCCACCCCCACCCAACTTCGATTTCTAACACAGTACCTGGCACATAACAGGTTCTTCAAAATATTTATTATTGATTTTAAACAAATAAATGACTTCATTCCATGTTAATGATATTTAAGGGGGGTACTCTCATAGTTATTTTGTCACAAGAAATAACTGCACTCCTAATTGAATTAATTTAGCTAGCCACATCTTTACAGGAGGTTGGCCTAGAGTTTAAGTTCTATAATTACATTAACTGATAATCTAATTTAATAAAACTAAGACAACTTCATTCACATTTGACCTTTCAGGCATCAACTATGTGAAGAGAGATGTCAAGAATTCCAAAGGCAAACCAAATGGCTCTTGAAAAAGCTCATTAAACATCCAAATGTTTTTAATTCCTCAAATAACTAAATGATAAAGCCCTCCCTTTTCTTCTGGCTCCAATTACAACAGCAGTGCCTCTGGCCTGGGGAGCACAAAAGAGGAACTTCTGGCATCTCTGCACCCTCCTTACCTCAAGTGGGAAAAGGATTCTGCTAGAATCCTCATGGACTCATGGGATAGTACAAACAGTTAACAACCTTGGCTGCTAACCAAAAGGTTGAAGGTTCAAGTCCACCCAGAGGCACCTCAGAAGAGGCCTGGTGATCTACATCAGGAAAATCAGCCATGAAAAATCCTATGAGGAATTTGATGAACTTGACCTACACCTATGGATATAGTAGGTCAAAAGAGGGAACAAATCTTTACAGCAAGGATCAATCCCACCCCGTCCATTCACAGCATAGACAGGGATGGGCAACTTGGGCATTGGCTACCCAAAATGGCTACAAAGGCAAGAAATGACTGGCTTACAAGCTTTCGAGAGGGAGACTAGATCCAGAAGGTGCGGAGGATGGTAGAAGCACCACTGAGCAGTAGCCAATCTGTCTGGGCAGGGCTGATGAAAGGAGATGGGGATAGGTCCCATGTGGTACCATGGTGAATAACTGTTTTCAGGACTGACTGCAAGGGTTGGAAATGTAAAGGTGGATGTTTTGTAGCAAAAGGAGGGGAGTGACTGACTTTGCAGTCTAGGAGCGGAGGTCCCTGGGACCATCAAGGGAGAAGAGCGGAGAGTAGGACTCTACCCAGAGAAGCAGTGGCTCCAGAGATGGAGGCAGAGACAATAACATGTAGAGATGGAGGAGCTGGGAACTCTAGACCCAGAGAGGGAGAGGGGCTGTGTGCTGATGACCGGCGGGCAGGCTTGTAGTGTATATCCTTTGGTTGGTTGATGATGCATGGAGGGGATTGTAACCATGGCAATGAAACAATATACAATAGGATGAATGTAAAGCTAATGTTCTCCCATGTAAACTATCACATAATTCACAATAAAACATTAAAAAACAAAACCCTATGAGGGTCACCATGAATCGGGGTTGACTAGCCCTACAACTGGCTTTAGGACCCTTGTGACTTCCCAGTTGTGTACGGTAAGTATACAGTGTACCGTCCCAATCCCAACACTTTCTGAAAGTGCAAGGACACTATGAATAGTTACATGTAAGCAGTAGGCATACACCAGGACTGTCCTGTGTGACTGGGATGTATGATCAGACTAATCAGAGGGTAAATCAAGCAAAGTCTCAGTTCCACTTAGGGTCCTTCCACCAGAAAATTGGCCTCCATTAAGAATGGCTGTGATGGAAAGAATCCAGGTATGAGGCAGGGACCTGTCTGGATTCGCTCATCAGCTGTGAGGTTGGCAAAAGTTCTTCCCCCTCCATCAGCCCTGCAGGGGGGCTTGAATTGGGGCTAAAATCTAGCTCAATGGAAACGGTGGTCATTTAAACACAACTTTCCGTGTTCCACTGATCCTGGTGGAATATACATGGTACCCTTCTGTGTTACGTGTGTATGACGCTGAAGAAAATATCAACAGTTTTATACACATTGACCTCTGATTTAAATAGTAGCTCTTTAAAATACAACGAAAATCTGATCATAAATTGCAGATAAAATCTCCTCAGCTCATGATAGAACTAGCAGGGATGTGGGAACTCATCTGGCTCCATGAAGAAACCTAAGGACTCTCTGGGTGGTGCAAAGGGTTAACATTTTTAACATGCTCAGCTGCTAACCAAACAAAAAATGGGAGGTTTGAGTCCACTCAGACATGCTTCAGAAGAAAAGCCTGGCTGTCTACTTCTGAAAAATTGTTGTTGTTAAATGCTGTTGAGTCGGTTCCAACCCACAGAGATTGTATGTAAGGTTTCTGAGGAGCAGCTGGTGAGCTTGAACCACCGACCATGTGGTTCAAGCCGACTTTACAGCCCAGTGCACTAACCGGCAGCACCACACCAGGACTCTGAAAAATGAGCCAGTGAAAGCCCTATGGAACGCACTTCTGCATGCACAACATGCAAACAGATGTGCAGAGGAGAGTGACTTGTCTAGGGACACACAACCATGTCAGTACCCAGTGCTAGCTTGCAAGCCCATTTCCCTCGTCCTCTCTCTGCATATTCAAGTCACGCCAGACCTCCAGGCCTTGGTGGAGAGTCCTCTACTCTGTGAAGGCTTCCCGCCTTCCCAGATGGCCAGGCTTACAGCTGTATCTCTGAGAGCTCCTATCCACTCCATCCTACACAGAGTAACTCTCTGTCTCCTCTTTGCCCCAGTCTACAAATTCCTTTCAGAAACGAGCACTTTCCAATTCATTTTTCACTCCCATCCCCCACAGTCCTAGCTCCATCTCAATCATTATACCACGCCATTATTTGTGCCGAGGCAATTTCTAGATTTTTGCATTCTCTCCTGTTCCCTTTTCAATCTTCCTCATTGAAAATCTTACCAGCAAGTCCCACAAGGGTGGGTTGGAAAGAAGTACATATGGTAGGTAGCAGGAAAACATTTTGTAAAGTTCAGGTGCAATGTACAAGTCAGCCACCATGATACTGCTGCTGCTGCTGTTGTTAAAGTGCTGCTGAGATATTTTGGGGGGTTTTTTGGATTTAGAATTTTTACTGAAACTATTTGGTGGCAATTTTTATAGTAAGATGTCAGGTGTTAAATACAAAGTTGAACTTTGTGACTACATGTGTTATCTTACTAGATAAGAAATTGAATACTTGTATAACATAGCCTGTCATGTAAACCTGTTGTCCAGATTTTCATTTAGACAATTTGTGTCTGCATAAATACTGTGTACTTTTTTAAAATGTGTGATCAAATATTGAAATTCATCTCCAAAAATCACAAATTTTATCGAATTAAAGAACAGCGAGTCATTTTTTTTTTCCAATGCTGAGCAGTCTTGTGAAAATATGTGTTGTTGTTAAGTGCCTTTGAGTTCATACCGACTCATAGCAACCCTGTATAGGATTTCCGAGGAGCTGCTAGTGAGTTTCAACCACCAACCTTGTGGCTGCTGAGTTTTGATTCAGTGATTCTGTGCGACAGAATAAAATTGCCGTATAGAAGAGGAGCACCAGATTTTTCTCCTATGGGGACGATGGATGGGTTTGAAACTCCAAACCTTTTGTTAGCAGCCAAGCACTTAACTGTTTGCATCATCAGGGACCCTTTTAGCTAGTGTATAATCACAGTATCATAAAAGAGTGAAATTACTGTGTATTATTAACTACTGTTCATGAGAAGTAGAAGTATTTCCCTAAACTGGATTATAATATTCAAATCCCCTAACAATGATTCCATTCTTTATTCTCTTTATCACCCACATAGACTTTAACACACAGATCTCTTGGCATGAACTGAAAAATAACCTGTAGCCAAGGGAGAAGGAACCAGAAGGAGCCTGAAGGCTTGGGTCCTAATCTGACCCTGCTGTCTGAATACCACAAGTTGCCGTCAAGTTGACTTCAACTCACAGCAATCCCTCATGATCCACAGGGTTTTCAATGATTGATGTTTCCTGAAGCAGATTGCCAAGCCTGCTTCTGAGGTGCTGCAGGATGGAATCAAATCTCTAACCTCTTAGTCAGTAGCTGAGTGTGTTAACCATGTGTACCACCCAAGGGCTCTTCTCCCTGATTATAACCCCCAAAAGCCATCCCCTTGCCTCACAGGGCAGTCATAAAGATAAAATTACTCAAAAACACCAAGTACAATGTCTGGCACACAGAAGATGTATACTGTGCACTGCCTCTAAAGCAAATGAAAATCAGATGATTCTAAAGAGATGATACAATAAAAAGCAGCTTCCCAGGATGTAAGAGGACCCTCCCATAAGAGCGTCCCAAACTATCAGTGAGTTCCTCAAACTAACAGTTCCCAAGGGAACATTCATAATTAGCTGCCAGGAGACTCCAAAATTCTCAGTGCAACAATTGCTGGAAAGTCTCCTGTGTCTCACCGTATAAAAATGGTTTTCATTTTTCTGGTCAAAATAGCAACCAGAACAATTCTGATAATGTTTTCCTTTCAAGTAAGCCCACGGTGAGTTTCTGGTTTTGTGTCACAGCAATTTAGGAACATAGAGCAGATAATAAGGGAAAGAGAGAAGCAAGCTCCTAGGAAGACTCTAAGGAGTAAATATAGTGTGGGTCTTGGAAGTGTTTCATGTGGCTGGGATAAGTGGCAATCAGCTCTTCTCAGAGGGCAACATATATTCTTGCTTTTCAATGCAATTGAACAGGGTGGGTTTGGCTTCCCAGCCAACAACCTGAATGAAGCCAAGAGTAAACTTTCCAATTAAGTCCAGTCCCAGATGTCACAACCTGGTGACGAGGACCCAGTTGGCTTTAAGCTGAGCTTGGAATCAGTTTTTTGTGTGTATGTGTGTACACTAGGGAGAAGGACAAACACTAAACTTACTAGCTCTGTGACACTGGGTAGCCACCTTAGTTTCCTCATGGGAGAAAGATGGAAATGGCCAAGGATCCCACTACAGCACAACTCACAACTGCACCACCAGGCACATGCAATAATATGCAGATGGAGACACAGCCTTGCAGTCTCTATGTAAATGGTGCTCCCTGGGGTTGTGTAAAGGGGGCTTTGTTGTATCTGCCTCACAGGAATGTTGTATAGCTTGAATGTGAAATACTAAGCTCAATAAACATTTGCTTTGAAGTGGAATTTACAAAGAAAAAAACAAAACAAAAATGGTACCACAGAGCCATTTCATCCCTCTGTCTCTCTAGAACTCTTTGCAGTTTAAAGGTCTAATTTCAAAAATGATTTCAAAACTGAACCTAAGACCAACTCCAAGGAAGTTGGAGCACTCACTATCTGTCCTCCTACCCTAACATGTTTATCCTGAGAAGACTGGTTAAAATAGCCACCAAGATCAGTCTTTGGAAATGAGATGGGGAAGCCCCCAATGGCTTTATCAATTAAGAGGTTGACTGTATGTGTGTATCGAGTGAGTATGCACACGTATGTGTGAATACATGTGCGTGTCGCGTGTATAAAACCAACCTCAGGCACCTTTTAGGGACAGCTGTCTCCTTTCCTACCAGCTCCCATCCTGCATGACTGTCCACCAGCAAAGTCATGATTTGGGGCTCTCCTTATTTATTCTCCTTATTAAGCTAAAGCAGGGGCTTAAATAAGTCACTTTCACTCTCTGCTGTACTCATGATGGTTCCAACCCAGGCATTTCATTCTCTTGCATAAGGTAGCTCCATCCTATGCTTGCAAATGGACCGTACAACACTAAACAGTTAACAGTTTCCTTCAGCTGGGGAGAGGACATGACCAGGGGCTCAGATGATGCTAAGGTGCTGTGGTTTGTGTGGGTATCTGGTATGTCAGGAAAGTAAGGCAATAGAAATTCCCACTGTGTGCAAAACATTCCAAGTAGTTTCTGCCTCTTCTTTTGTCTTCTCTTTCCTTAGATTCTTCCTCCTTTTCCAGCCTTACTCCTGGAAGACTGTAGATGTCCCCTACCTCACTCCACCCCAGGCAGCCAAGGATGGCACCTTTAAGTCCCTCTTGAGTGCATTATCTTAGCAGGGGGAGCAAAGTCCTCTTCCAGCCATGGGTCCTCACATGAACATTCCCCAGATTCACAGGGGAGGTGCTACTTCTCAAGTTGTGTGACTTGGTGCTCATTGTCCCATCCATGCTGAGCAAGCTATTTCCAGAGGGAACAATCCTCACTGAGAAGGCTACATGTACTTCTCAAACCCCTTGATCATTGGTGATTTTCTCTGCCTGTCTCTGCACCTGTCCTTTTCAGCAACATCTTTCTCTGACAAGAGCAACTTTGCTCGTTTCTACTCAGTATTGTGTAGCCTGTGGCCCTCAGTCATTCTTGCAGCTCAGAGGCCCCATATTATTCTTTTGTCAGATTCTTTTAAGTCTTGTCTATAGCCCTTCAACAGAGCAAACTTCTCAAAACTCCTAATTTAGAAAAACAGACTATCAAACAAATAAGATGAGAGCAAACCACCCCTATCCCTTTAACATACATCTCTCCCCATCCAGGATTGTGGTTCCCAACCAGAAAGACCCCTTGCTATTAATTTTCCTTCCACAATTGGATTCCATCTATTATGCGGAAAATGTACTATCCTGTACAGATTCATTACAGAAAAGCTTACAATAAGCGTTATGATTTCTAGACAGTTAGGAGAGTTTTTGGATTCCTATGACTACATTTGGAGTCCTGGTGTGGAGCTATGGGCTAATGCATCAGACTGCAAAGAAGTTTGAACTGCAAGGTCGGTGGTTCAAGCTTACCAGCTACTCCTTGGAAACCCTATACAGGGTCGCTATGGGTCGGAACTGACTCGACAGCACTTAACAACAACATGACTACATTTTGGACTCCTGGTGTGGTGCTGTAGGATCAGCACTGGACTGCAAACCACAAGGCTGGCAATTCACACCCACCAGCTGCTCCTTGGAAACCCTACACAGGGTCACTATGAATCAGAACCAACTCAACAGCATAACACACCCACATGACTATATTTCAGTGACTGGTTAAAATCTGGGATGACAGCGCAGTTAAGCACTCGACTACTAACCAAAAAGTCAGTGGTTCAAACCTACAAACTGCTCTGTGGAATAAAGACATGATTGTGTTTCGGTCAAAATTACAGCTTAAAACCCCAATGTGACAGTTCTACGCTGTCCTACAGCATCACTAAGACTTGGAATCAACTCAGTGGCAATGGGCTTGGTTTTGAGGTTTTGGAGGCTCCAGGTTACAAACCACTCATCTAGATTACAGGATGCTAACACAAACCAATTTATGCCTACCCAAGTAAAGGGAAATGAGAATTATAGCCAGAAAGAGCAAGGCTTCAGGCTAAATGATCAGACTGCTTTACCCAACTGGCTCAGTCTAATGCTTCATTTGCCTGTGTAGACATACACACACACAGGTATTATGTGACTTCTCAGAGGGACCAAATCAGCATCTAAGAAGCCCCTCTCTGGACTTCTCGTGGCTGTCAGCCCTGAGCAGTGTCCACCGGTCACACATCCCGTTCAGCAGATGTTTACCTCCTCAGGCCGACTCAGCACATGCCCCTCGGGGCCTGTGATGCCCAGATCCAGGATTCTTTGCTGTTCCTGAAACGTTTAAAGAAAGACAGGCTGTCAGAGAGAGTTGGACTTCAGCTACTGGGGGGAAGATGTAAAAAAAAAAGGCACTGCTGAGACTTGGCCCTCAGCTTAAGGGATCATGACGAGAAGTGTTCACTGTCCTGTTCTCAGATCTGACAAAGTTGGGAGAGATGAATTAGAAGCCTCCCAGAAAGGCTCGGCTGGTTACGGGGGATGCTAAGTACATACACTGTCTCAACCCTCTGTTACCATCTGAATGTGTTGCTAGAAAGTCTATGCACTCTACCAGAGACAGCTGCGCAGCTAAGGGAAGTAAGTGGCTTCCTTGTGGAGAGACACTAGCTGATTCTGTTTCTGCTCACACACTGAGAGGCGCACATGTTTCCGGTATTCACATTGGCAGTGAGAGTGTGAGCACAAAGCCCCAGGGCTGCAACACCGATTCACCCTGGCATTCTCCCGGGTGTTAGCTATAGAAGTCATCTCACGCTCTTGAGTCTGTCTCTAGTTCCGTAGGTGATAAAGAGATGATCAAGAGGAAAGCACAATACCTCTGCAATGATGTCGCCATTTTCTGCGTGGACTTGGGCAATCGCGCCGATATCCCGGATGACGCTCAGTACTTCGTATATCTGAGAGCAGAGAGTGGGAGTCAGATACAGTGATTACAGCTTTCTGTTCATGAAAACAATTATCTCCCTGTCAGCAACCTTTCTGGGATCAGAAAGGATACCCCTCAATTGCTTCCAGGGAGGCTAGCTTTTTGGACACACTCTGGCTACATCTGGGAGGGCAGCAGGACCTGTGGGCAATTAACAGAGGCAGCAGAACCTAAAAAGATGTGGATCTGGAGTGAGTAGCTCACTGATGACACCCTTAGCTTACACCAGGTTTGCTAAGGGGCTCTGAATACATTTCAGAGCCATAGTGGCAGACCCCCAAGTCATTACAGAACTCAGATTCCAGAGCCTGGTGGAGCATGGCACTGAGGGGTCAGGAACTGGATTCATCCAATAGTCACTTCCCTTGCAGCGAAGAAGTAGCCATACACTGGAAGTTGCTGTCCCAGACCAACAGCAGTGGCCTGGGCCGATTCAGAAAAGCTGATATTTCTTACCTGGGAATCTGTGAGCTGGAAGCGATCCTTGAAAGCCATGTACACAAGGAATGAATTGACCCCTAGTGGACACATAATACAGATAGGTTAAGAGGTGGCTTTCAATGGATAAACCAAAATCAAATCATATGGAAGATGGTAAGAAAATTATAATACACATGTGTATATAAAAATATAAATATATGCATATGTATATACACATTAGAGGAGCACAGTGGCTCCATGCAATAACCACTAGAGTATGAACCATAAAGTCTGCAGTTCAAGTATGCCACTGGGGCGGGAGGGAGGCTTTCTGCTCTCTGGAAGATTTAAGGCCTTGGAAACCTTATACAGGATTGCTAGGAGTGGGAACTGACTCAACGGCACTGTAAAAACAACAATACATATAGGAGAGACTGAGAATGATCAAACAAACTGAATAAAATGTGAACTAGAGAATCTGAGAATTAGACACATGACAGTTCACTGTACTATGCTTGTAATTTTCCCATAAGTTTATAACTTTATCAAAATTAAAGCTTGTCAAAAAAAAAATTTAAAGCTTGTCCCCCAAATAGTCTGTTGTGACTTTACAAAGAAGGTGAGTTACAAGTCTCTGTTGATGAAGGTCTGTAATCAATGTCTTTATTCTGGATAAGTACTGGACTGCTAACCACAAGGTCAGCAGTTCAAACCCACCAGTCACTCCTTGGAAACCCTATAGAGGGTTGCCATGAGTCAGAACCAGCTGAACGGCACTTAACAACAAAACATACTGCGCTCCCTAAGAACCTAAGGTCCATTAGTGTAATAAACAGATGTTGCCGTTGTCATCTTGGCATTTTAGAATTCTTGCACAAGGCCAAACATCCCTGCCCAACATCCATCACCATTTTAAACAATTGTACTGACAGTCTCCTAGCCTTGGAGCTTAATTCAAGCCACCTGGGGAGTGTTGGAAGCTGCCTGAGTTATATGCCGCATGACATCCTTGCCTTCTCTTCTCTCCAGGCAACAGTTACTATGGTAACCCTCCTGCCTAGATTTGGAGTAGACTCATTTTAAGTATGGAAAGTTAAATTCATCTGAGTCTGGGTACTCGCAAAAGTGAGAAAGGTTAAAGGTTACCTATTTTCTTTTATGTGAGGCCTTCATGCTGGAAAGACTCTTATACGACATCTAGTCTAACGCCCTCATGTTAGTGATTTTAAAGAAAAGTGAGACCCACAAAATGTAAGTGATTTTTCCAAGATCACAGAGTTAGTCTGTAGAAGAGCTGAGAATTAAGGCTATGACTATAGCTTCGCATTCTGGGGCTTTCCCACCATGTCACACTAAAGAGGTGCCTAGGGATACCCCTCCCGACCCTGATCTCACAGCCCATGATGTTACTGAGCCTGGAAATCCCAGAAGCCTAAAGTCATAAGTGCTTCCCTCAAGCCTGAGATCCAATAAACTCAGTACATGACCCAGGACTCTTGTCTGTGGCCAAGAACAAGTAGGTCCATGCAGACAATGTGGTTTGGCTACCCCATCCATGTAAGCCATGGAAGGCACCTATGGACAAGAGACCTAGAGGGACCTCAGGGCAATCAAAATTCCTCCAGCCTCCCCTGAGATCATCTTTAAACCTTAAATCCAAAATATTCCCTGAAGTGTTCTTAAAACCAAACAGTAAGTTAAACTGAAAGGAAATGGGTGTGCTCTTTTAAGAATTACCTATATGGGATACAATTAACAACAGCAATTTAAAATATTAGGCCAAGTAATGGGCAATGAGTTTAAATTAATGGGGGAGGACAATTCAGAAGAAGAGAGTGAGAACGGTAGTACAACTCAAAGAATGTAATCAATGTCACTGAATTATACACATAGAAACTGCAGAATGGATGTGCATTCTGCTGTGTAGAGTTTTACCACCAGCAATTCAAATTAAATACCTGATTTAAAAAGCAATCAATCCCCCAGCCTTTCTAGTAATCATTCCAAATGCGATTCCTGAAATCCTGCTCCCAAAAAAAGTTCTATGGTGCTGAAAGGAGCCCTTAGGTTATATCAGGTTTGAGGAGACGCATCACCTCAAATCTAGCCTGGGGTCTTCCAGAAGTGCAAGAAGAGGCCATCCAAGCCCTGCACTCCAATATCCTATGTACTCTCTTGAAACTGCCCATGTATATGTATTTGTTACACATTGAGGACAAATGACTATTACAGTTTCAACTCCACAAGCTGATTAAGAGCACATACTTACCTCAAACCAGTAAGCTGCAAGAACTGATCCCAGTAACAGGCTCAAGTTCTCCAGTGAGTGGTTATATTAGTCCAATGGGTGAGCCACCTCCAATCATCATCAGCTGTGGTCCTTAACCCTCTCTCCATGCTAAGGGTAGGTATAGGGGTAAGGTACAAATGGCATCTATAACCAGCACAATCTCCTGTTATCTTCACAGAGCTGGACCAGGTTAGACACTGAAATGGAAATATACCCAGGGGGTGTTGGGTTGGCACAACCTACCATGGTCCTTCACCAAGGCTTCCATCTCCTCTTGGATGCCCTTATGCCACTCAGTGATGTCCACATGCAGAGAGTAGTCGCAGCAGGACTTGCTGTCAGCCCATTCCCTCCACTGGTCAAAGGCGGCCAGTAAGCTTGTCCCAGGCTCAGGAACAACGTGGTCAACTAGAAAGGAACAAACATGCCATCATCAACAAGAGACTCAGGGCCACAGGCCACAAGGTGTTTTCCCATTCCAACCCTGAATAAGGCTTCTTGGGTTCAAAATCAAGATGGTGATCTTTACAACCAGTCTCTTAAGAATCCACTTAAGCCACCTGACTGCCCAAGAGGGAGAAAATAGAAAGAAAGAACTTGGCATTGGATGCTTACTTCAGTGAAAACACGCATGAACAGCCCAGATTTGATTTCCAAGTTCAAAATCCCTGAAAGCGCATACCTTAGGAACATTCCACGTACAATGAGTCCTTATGGACAATGGCAGTGTCAAATGGCCAGCCAAAGCAGTCAAACCTTTCTTCATGCTGATAGCTCTGAGTGAGACGCCCCCCCACCAGACGGCAAAGAACTTTAAGGCACTGGACTGGAGCCATGTGGACCAGGCCTTTTAAAATTCCCCAGCATATCCACTCTCTCATCACCACTCAAATTTCAGCAGCAAAATACTACTTTGTAATTTAAGAGAGAGCTTTCATCTTACAAGTTCAAAGCGTCTTAAAGCTGTGGTTATTGTTATTCTACTACTGAGGTAGGCTGATACAGAGGGCAGGATAAAGTCTTTGGCTTCATGCAGACCTGAGTTTGGTTTCTGGCTCCACCACTTTGCAGCAAGGTTAGCTTTGACTAAGAAATTAATCCCTACTAAACTAAATTTTTGTGCTGGTTTAAAATGGGAATAATGTTACCGACCACATACATTTGTTATGAAGATGAAATGAAACAGCATATCTATCAGTCTTACATCCCTCGCCCTTTTAAATCTCCAAAGGCTTCCCATTGCTCTCTGGATAAAGATTAAAACCCCCAACAAGGTCTATAAATCCTGACTAGCTTGGCTCTAGCTGACATCTACAACATCATCACCTAGTACACCATCTCCTCAATGCACACAGATCTCATTCACACAGGATGCCTTTCATTGTAACAATTATCTGCCTGCTCCTTCCTACCACTGGGCCTTGATACATGCTATTGTCTCTCCCAGGTCTTATAGAGTTCTACTCCAGTTACCATAATGACAGGCGGTTTACCCAGAATGATTATTAGCATTCTTCTGCACAGAGACACTAAAATACAAACTAAAATGACTTGTCCAAGGTCAAATCAAATTCTGTAACAAAGACGATAAAATCCAGAACTCTTGACGCCTAAAGCAATGAATCATTCTCCCTAAATGAAATATTAGATGCTCTATATCCAGTAAGCATTTCTGAGCTAAGAAAATGCCAGCTCAGGCAATGTTACAGAGCTCAGATTTCTGAAATGTATCAAAACTTGCTGATGATGCTGTGCTACAATCAACTGAGTACGGTTTTGTGTATCTCAAAACTATGGCTATCTAAGTTGAATTTCTTTTGACAAAACTTCCTTTTTTATATAAGTATTAGCATATGGAATTATGTATCTTATATATATATATATATTATATCTGTAATATATATAATGTTATTTAACAAAAGCAATGCAAATGTACATATATGTCTAATGCAAGCCTATTCTATCTAATATGCTAACACAGAAACCCTGGGGAAACTTCCATTTTTTTGTTCTTAAATTGTGCTCCCCTGCTAACCTAAGACAAGGGAACACTGAATGGTTTAAAATTAGGAAAGGTGTGTGCTAGGGTTGGATCATTCTACCATACTTATTCAACCTGTATGCTAAGTAAATAATCTGAGAAGCTGGGTTCTATGAAGAGAAAACGTGCCATCAGGATTGGAGGAAGACTCATTAACAACCTGCTATATGCAGATGATACAACCTTGCTTGCTGAAAGCAAAGAAGACTTCAAATACTTACTGATGAAGCTCAAAGACCACAGCCTTCGGTATGGTTTGCATCTGAATGTAAAGAAAACAAAAATCCTCACCACTGGACTAATAAACAACATCCACATCAATGGAGAAAAGATAGATGTTGTCAAAGACTTCATTGTGCTCGGATCAACCATCAACACTCATGGAAGCAGAAGTCAAGAAATCAAACAACTTATTGCATAAGGCACATCTGGTACATAGGACCTCTTTAAAGTGTTCAAGAGCAAAGATGTCAGTTTTAGGATTAAGGTGTGCCTAATGACACAAACCCATCAGCCACTCCTTGTTAATCCTATACAGTGTCGCTATGGGCAGGAACCAATTCAACAGCACTGAACAACAATAGTCCTAAAACAAAAAATGACATCACTTTGTAGTCATCATAGTTTGTACAGGATATCACTAGCCATTCTCCTGGCTTTGCCTCTAGGCCTGCTCCAACCCAGTCTTCAGAAATGAAAGGACCTTCTCAAACCTTAAATCAGATCTTGTCATTCCCCAAATTAAATATTTAGTAGCCAACCACTGTCTTCAGAGTAGGATTCAAACTCTTCCCATTGGTCCTGCCTAATCTCTCCAGTAGCCTCAATGCTCCTTCCTCCTTCCTGGTTCATCCCCATCAGACCACCCTGACCTGTTTTCACGTTACATTTACTACAGATACCAGATATGTATGTACCACCCATTTAACTACATACCCTTGTTATTGCTGTTGCTAAGTGCCACTGAATTTGTTCAGACTCATAGCAAGCCTGCCTAGGGTTTCCGAGGAGCAACTGGTGAGCTTGAACTGCCAACCTTGCTGCTCTAACCAACATTGCAGCCCAGTGCATCAACTTGCAGCACCACACCAGGACTCTGAGAAGCAGATGGTAGGTCTAAATTGCTGAACTTGCAGTTAGCAGTCCAGTTATCCTACTGTGTTACACTAAAATCCCATTATATATGCTAACACTTATTAAAACTTTTATCAATGGAAAATTCAGCCTAAACAAGCTATGATCATTATGGGGGGAGAGGGCGGAGTGAGTATTCATGGACTAGATGGTAGACACATATTAACATAAGTGGCAGGGCAGGCAATAGACAACAAAAGGGAGGTCAGCAGAGGAAAGATGAATTAAGCAGGAGACACAGGGAGGAATGCAATAATGAAAGTGAATAGAGGTAAATGCTGTTAACTATCGGTACATGCAACCATATAATGAAGTGGAGTACATGATTTGTTGAGTGTAAAACTGATAATCTGCTCTGTAAATCATCAATCAATTCACAATAAAATGTTGGAAAAACATGAAAAAGCAAAACAACAATTTTTTAAAAAAAAGAAAGAAAATCAACAGCCTAGATATCTCCTTTTTGAGATTTACAAAAGTAAGCTCAGTTGGTTGCCATCTGGCAACATCTGCAAGTTTTGATCCATTTCAGAACTGTCAAACTCCTTCTGATTCAAGCAGCCCCCTCTCTGCAAATCCATCCCCTCTTGCTCTTTACTTGAGCATCTCCTTTTCATTCTTTTCACCTGGCATAAATGTCATCATCCCAGTATTTCATTACCATTTACAATGATAATCTATGCATCAGTTTAACTAGTTCACTCTCTAAATGTTCCCTTCTGAGTCCCATACTCCACCATAGAAGATCACCAAAGGAGGAACTCTTATGAGCCCTCAACTAACTTTTCCTGTTCAAACCAACAGAGCTTCTGCAACACCTGAAGACTTGTTCTGCTTAATGCTGCCCTGCATGAACCTCAGTTACAACTGCCTGCCAAACAGAAATACATTATTTTTACTGGGTGGCGTGGGTTATGAATGAAAATTAGTTTCTAAAAATTAATAATACATTTTTGACAATATCATTCTATTTGGAGTAAAAAAAAAAAAAAAAAAAAAACAGAAAATTTTAGGGAAAATTATTATCTGTATAAAAGTGATGACAAAACCCATCCCAAACTGTCCCTCCCACAGCACTCTGCTTCTCAGCTATATCCAGTAATTCGCTGCAATGGCCACGCAGCACTCAGAGACAATACTCACAGTTAGGGGGCTTACTGGGGAAGTTAATAGGTTACAATTCAGGGTCAGAAATGCTCAGGACATAGTTCTTCCAGTCAGGACTGCCTCTCCTCAGCTGTGCCCATCGACAGGTCTCTCTCTGCCTGGATCATGTTTTAGAGCTGCTGATGAATGCTCACAGACCACATTACTCCACCATAACCATCAGTCCAAAGGCACTCAGCTCCAGCTCCATGGTTCAGCAAACGCAGCTCCCCCTATTAAGTGCCTATAGTACCCCACTCCACAAGCAAGTCTTCTGCCAAGAGTGGCTCAGCTTTACCTGCTTTATGGGCTGGGAAGCCCACTACTCTGTCTCATGCTCTGGTTCTTGGTGTTGCTGCTTCTCTACCAACCCTCCAGTGTCATAGCTTTGTGTTCCTGGATCAAGAAGGTTCAATGCACAAGGATCTCAGGGTCCAAAAGATGTGCGCTACTCAAGGTTCTTCTTTAACAGTAGTGAGACTCCCCATTCCTACTTCTGAGATGGTTCATCTTATACCCAATAGAGTTCCAGGGTTTTTACAATCACAGTTAACTCTGTTGGGGGGGGGGGGGAATGTTATGAAGGTCATGTCTGACTCCCTTGGCTTCGTAAGAGGGAAGGAAAATCAAACTTAAGATCAGCCCAAAGCCGATTCCTATGAAGCAGAGGTCAACCTCTTCAACCTTCTTTACTCTATTCTGACACCAACTGTCCTTCCCACAGCACCCTCTGCTTCACCTCTGGGTCGGATAATCTGGTGTTCTGGGCATGCTAAACTCATAGACAATGCTCACAATTATGGGGTTTGTTAAGGAAGCAAATGGTACAATTCAGAAGCAGAAACAACTCAGGATGCAGCAGTTCTCCAGTCAGAAATGAGCAACCCAAGGCATGAACTGTAACAGCAGTGTTTTGAGGGGCTCGTGGGATGCTCACCATGTCGACAGTCCCCTGATGGTTTGGTTTGGACAAGTGGGACAGTGCAGTGTCTGAGAAGTTGATGGACTGCCTATCCAGTAGACATCAGTGCAGAAATCCTTCTCCACCAAGTGCAACTCCCAAAAGAAGGACAGCTCACTCTTACTT